CCATTTTCCCATATTCAGATTAAGCCTAAGCCTAGACTGGAAATTATTTCCAATGGTAGTCCTCCCTTGACAATGAAATGTAGTACTGTCCTCAATCCATGTCCAGAAAGTCAGCACTTTATGATTTGTTATGAAAAAGAAACAAGTCATGAAGTGCCTCACTGGGTGAAGGGGTGGGGAAGTTTGAGCAACCTTCAGGATGGCCCAATCAAATGTTCTTGTGGGCCAACTTTAGCCTGCAGGCCTAAAGGCAGCCCTGGTATGTTAAATGTATACTGTTAAAGGTATACCAGAAGGTAACCAGGATTTTCAGTGCTTTATTGGAGTCTACTGTTTTCATTAAAAGTGATCACCCATTTTCTTGCTAAGAAGTCTGCAAATATTTTTTTCACAACAAAGCTAACCTTTACTATTAACAACATCAATAATCATAATCATAATAATAATTGTTATTATTATTACTTTTATTATGACAACAGTAACTTTATAGATTACTTTTTATACACATGGCAGCTCAAAGTGCTTTACAACAAAATAGCAACTTTAAAAAACAAAAGCAAACATACAAAATAAAAATACTCAAATTCAACTAAGTAAAATAACATAGAAGCTAAATGAAATAACCTTAAAAAAAAGCTCAAAATGTTAATAACTAAATTATAACTGATATTGTACTATGCAAAAGTTTGGGTGCCCTGGACAAATGACATCTTTTAGCAAATTTTAGTAAACATAAAATATAAAATGTGCCATGACGTTTTTAACAGGCTGAATTTCATGTTTTATTTTTTTCCTGATAGGTTAAATTCAGCAGATAAACAGTTATTATCTGTTACACTACGTAGAAGCATGCTCTCTGTAGAGAATGTTTGGTAACACTTTATTTGGATGGTCCACTGTAGATGCTTTGTAGTTACACAGTCTGTCTTTAACCTACATTCAACTGAACATCAATGAAATGCAACTGAACTTGAAGTTGATTGTGAAGGATTATATTAAATCTAACCCTAAACCTAACCCTAACCCTAACCTTAATGTTGTTGATACTCAAGTGAGTATCACCAGAAAGTTTGGTAACAGTTTAAATGTCTGTAGACCATCTGTAGAGGACCATCCAAATAAAGTGTGACCGAATGTTTGATCTCATTTTTGTTTAGAAAATCAACAAAACATGTCATTTGACCGGGGTGCCCAAACTTTTTCACACAACTGTATGTTGTATGTTTCTTAGTGTGTGGCCAACTTGACTGCCTAACTGGTATTGCTAATGTGTGCCTGAGATCATTCTCAGGAGGTTGTTTCACAAAGCAGAGTTGTTCAGTAAGTGTGATACCTCAAACCCAAACCGAGAACTGTCCAACAGCGTTACCTCCTACTATCCTGTCTGGGGAAAATCCTGCTTTGTGAAACACTTCCACTTAACATTGACTCAGTGATCACAAAGCAACATTGCATCACACTGGGAAAAAGTGATGCATTGAATTATAATAGAAGTAAATGGCCAGTTTCTTCACCACCTGCCCATTGCTTTTTATATATTTCCACAGGAATAACAATATCACATTTCTTAAAACTTCTTAAATTTCTTTTCTACCAAATGGAAGATAGTTTACTCTCATTTGGTAGAAAATACATTTTAAGAGACGTGATATTGTTTATTCATGTGGAAATTATATAGACGTTTGAATCAAGTAAATTTAAGGGCAGTAAGTTAGAATGGTGCTTTCAATGGTGTTACAGATTGTTGTTTAATGTGCACAGAAAATCTCTCTCTCTCTTTCTCTCTCTCTCTCTCTAGAACAGCAAAGCTAAGGGGCTCTCACACCTTTACACCTTGTTAACAAACTTTTTTTTAAAAGTGGAACTAAAAGGTACTGAGGACGCACCCTTGAGGGTACTACCCCTAGTGTCAACAAGGCTACCACCTCAGTGACAACAGAGCTACCACCTCAGTGACAACAGAGCTACCACCTCAGTGACAACAGGACTACCACCTCAATGACAACAGGACTACCACCTCAGTGACAACAGGTCTACCACCTCATTGACAACAGGACTACCACCTCAGTGACAACAGGGCTACCACCCCAGCGACAACAGGACTACCACCTCAGTGACAACAGGACTACCACCCCCGTTGGTCAACAGGGCTACCACTTTATTGTCAACAGGTCTACCACCTCAGTGACAACAGGGCTACCACCTCAGTGTCAACAGGGCTACCACTTTATTGTCAACAGGGCTACCACCCCAGTGTCAACAGGGCTACCACCTCAGTGACAACAGGACTACCACCCTAGTGTAAACAGGGCTACCACTTTATTGTCAACAGGTCTACCACCTCAGTGACAACAGGACTACCACCTCAGTGACAACAGGACTACCACCTCAGTGTCAACAGGGCTACCACCTCAGTGACAACAGGACTACCACCTCAGTGTCAACAGGGCTACCACTTTATTGTCAACAGGTCTACCACCTCAGTGACAACAGGACTACCACCTCAGTGTCAACAGGGCTACCACTTTATTGTCAACAGGGCTACCACCCCAGTGTCAACAGGGCTACCAGCTCAGTGACAACAGGGCTACCATGTCAGAGACAACAAGACTACCACCCCAGCGTCAATAGAGCTACCACCTCAGAGACAACAGGACTACCACCCCAGCGTCAACAGGGCTACCACCTCAGTGACAACAAGGCTACCACCTTAGTGACAACAGGACTACCACCTCAGTGACAACAGGGCTACCACCCCAGTGACAACAGGACTACCACCCCTGTGTCAACAGGGCTACCACTTTATTGTCAACAGGTCTACCACCCCAGTGTCAACAGGGCTACCACTTTATTGTCAACAGGACTACCACCCCAGTGTCAACAGGGCTACCACTTTATTGTCAACAGGGCTACCACCCCAGTGTCAACAGTGCTACCACCTCAGTGACAACAGGACTACCACCCCAGCGTCAACAGGACTACCACCCCAGCGTCAACAGGGCTACCATGTCAGAGACAACAGGACTACCACCCCAGTGTCAACAGGGCTACGACCCCAGAGACAACAGGACTACCACCCCAGTGTCAACAGGGCTACCACCTCAGAGACAACAGGAGTACCACCCCTGCGTCAACAGGGCTACCACCTCAGAGACAACAGGACTACCACCCCTGTGTCAACAGGGCTACCACTTGAGAGACAACAGGGCTACCACCCCAGTTTCAACAGGGCTACCACCCCAGTGTCAACAGGGCTACCACCTCATTGACAACAAGGCTACCACCCCATGGTAAACAGGGCTTCCACCCCAGGGTCAACAGGGCTACCACCCTAGTGTCAACAGAACTACCACCTCAGTGACAACAGGACTACCACCCCAGTTTCAGGGCTACCACCCCAGGGTCAACAAGGCTACCACCACAGTGACAACAGGACTACCACCCCAGTGTCAACAGAACTACCACCTAAGTGACAACAGGACTACCACCCCAGTGTCAACAGAACTACCACCTCAGTGACAACAGGGCTACCACCCCAGTGTCAACAGGACTACCACCCCAGTGTCAACAGAACTACCACCTCAGTGACAACAGGACTACCACCCCAGTGTCAACAGGACTATCACCCAAGTGTCAACAGAACTACCACCTCAGTGACAACAGGACTACCACCCCAGTGTCAACAGGACTACCACCCCAGTGTCAACAGGACTATCACCCAAGTGTCAACAGGACTACCACCCCAGTGTCAACAAGGCTCCCACCCCAGTGTTAACAGGACTACCACCTCAGTGACAACAGGGCTACCACCCCAGTGTCAACAAGGCTCCCACCACAGTGTTAACAGGACTACCACCTCAGTGACAACAGGGCTACCACCTCAGTGACATTCCAAAATATATTCCACATGCTCAAGTATATTAACCCCCAAAAAAGCAATACATGTCGAAGCGTTTGATTTTGTCACATGGGGAACGTGATGTATCGTTCGCGAATGACTCGGTTCTTTGAGCCGACTCGCTTTGAAGAGCCTAATATTTATTTAATTAATTATTTAATTGATTGGCTTTTGTTGATTAGAAGGCGAACTAAGGCATACAAATGAAATATACAGATAATATCTCATCTGCTTAAAAAGACCTTTAGAACCAGTAGGATTAAAGCCTGATGGTTTTACTTTCCAAAGGGAATTGGCTTAAGTTACCGTTAGAGACCACTGGTTTCCTGTAGGACATCTTCAGATCCCGTTAGGAAACCATCAGGTGTGTCGGGAATCAGCTCCAGAACACCTTTACACTGTGATATCAACCCATCAGGAAAACACAAAATACCACAAGAAATCACCAGGAACCAGCAAAACACTTCAATGTTTTTTCAGCAGGGCTAAGTTGGCTAATTTTGGGAAGTAAAAATGGCAGTGCTAGTTGAACGAAGACTCGTTTGGAAGCTGAAAGAGTCGACTCTTCATGGCGAACTGAGCTGATTCATCTGACTCACCGAGCAGAGCCGGAACGCTCAGCAATCGGCGACCTGGTTGGGTAAATTCGAACCGATGGGTGATTAAACCAATCAGTGGTGGAGGCAGAGATCGAGGTGTATTTCTACCACTCAGCTTGCGATGCACGTCAACACGGAGCGTCTCTACGTGCAAACAGGGAGGATTATACATTTTATCATCAATGTATTTGAGGGATAGATGTGGATCTTACACTATGAAAGTGAAAGCAAAAATAAAAACAGCTCTTTAAAGAAACAGAGGCTTGCCTTGCGTCATCATCAAATTCCTGACCAATCAAAGACCATCCGCGTGCGTAATGGATCACTTCAGCCGTTGCAGCGTGAAACCAAGCAAACCAAATGAAAATGTCCAAAACCCCCAAACTCCCTCTCTCTCTCTTTCACTATCTCTCTCTCCCAGCGGATAGAGCAGTAGCCACGCCCTCCGCCCCTCCTCCCCTCCTCCATTGCTCAGCATGTTCATAAGCCAGGGGACAGAGCAGGGACCTGTTTTGTTTGGCCCATCTCAGGATGGGTGTCATCACACCACAGCAACCGTCCAGACTCAACACCACCCTCCTCAGCTCTCTGTCCACTCTGACCTACCTGCTTGCTTGCTGACCACCCTCTCTGCAGGATGACCTCTCTGGACTATGACGAGGTGACCTCATTCCTGGGCGAAAGAGGCCCGTTCCAGATCACTATATTCATCCTCCTCAGCCTCAGCACCGTGCCCAATGGCTACACTGGTATGGCCATGGTGTTCCTTGCAGACACGCCCAGCTACCGCTGCAGGACATCCCACAGAAACGGGACCAGTGCCAACCTGAGCCTGGCAGAAGATGGCAGAGGAGGCGGCTGCCTCAAGTACCAGCTTCTGAACGGGAGCAGCAATGCCACAGAGCCGTGTGTGGACGGCTGGGAGTACAGCAACGAGCGCTACGACTCAACTATAGTCACTGAGGTAAGACACACTCAGAGTCCCACGTCAAAAAAGATTAGCTGTCAGTCTAAAGCAGCTGTTCACACCTGGCTAGAATTGGCTCAATGTGCCACATCAGCTGGGTGATTTATTAATGATATTAGGCATGAATATTTACCCTTGAAAGAATACCTTTCAGCCTGTTCTCTGTCTGCTATTTGTATCCTGCCATCAACTATCATGGACAATAATGTTGACATATTTACTCCTTCTTAACCTTAAAATACAATAGAAATCAATGAACAGTTGTTTGACTGAAGTCTAATTTTAGTCCAGTGTCAGTTTAATTCTAGTCCAACATCTGTGTAATTCTAACTCAATATCAGTTTAATTCAACATCAGTTTAATTCTAGTACATCTGTTTAATTCTAACTCAATATCAGTTTAATTCTAGTCCAACATCTGTTTAATTCTAACTTAATATCAGTTTAATTCTAGTCCAACATCTGTTTAATTCTAACTCAATATCAGTTTAATTCTAGCCCAACATCTGTTTAATGCTACCTCAATGTATGTTTAATTCTAGCCCAATTTCTGTTTAATTCTAGTCTAGCATCCATTTAATTTTAGCCCAATGTCTGTTTAATTCCAGTCCAATTTCTAATTGTAGCCCAAAGTCAGTTTAATTCTAGCCCAATGTCTGTTTAATTCTAGCTCAACATCTCTTTAATTCTAGCCACATGTCTGATTCTAGTCCAATGTATTTTTAATTTCAGCCCAGTGTCTGTTTAATGTTAGCTCAATGTCATTTTGACTGTAGCTCAGTGTCTGATTCTTGACTTTTGCCGGCTTGATTCTAGTCCAGTGTCCCCATTTAAACCCTGTTATCAGCAGTATGCAGTGCAGTGACACTCTTCTGGCATGCACAGGGCTTGGCTACATTTGCCTGTCTGTGGTTCTTTCCTGTCAGCTCATGTGGTGGGGTAACAGTACAAACCTGTTTCTGGGGAGGTTTTATAAACCTCTACCCCAGGTTACGAGAGTCTGTAATTGCTGCTTATTCTCACTGAGACGACTGTGCTGAAACCTCTGTACAGAGCAGTAGCTGAAATGCTGTTTCTCATACAACAGATATGCATCGGCAGACTCTGTTGTGAATGTTTGGGTGATGTCGTCATGATAAAAAGCATAGCGATGGTGTGGTACAGTAAAGGGCATGCACTGGAAAAACATACCTGTTTCAAATGTGTACATCATTTCCACATTATGTTACCACAATTATTGCCAAAAGTAAGTACATTGAAAGACAAAGCTGTAACACTTCACTGAAATCCTGCTACATAACATTGACAAAACCACAAAACAACATTACTGGATGTAATCTGCCATGACAACCTATGACAGCATATCACATCTGCCATGACATGTTTATGGCATGGTTTTGTCACTGTTATGTAGCAGGGCTCAAGTAAAGTGTTACCGACAGTATTGTGCTGGTGTAATATATTTTACAGCTTAGGTTTAACATGTGTAGCTTTAGCATGCCCATTATCTGATTTTCAAATGTGATCTCACATATTTCACATTTCGCAAGTGCTGCATTTGTCCTCTTGCGCACTTGAAGCACATTCTGAACATTTTTTTTCACTCTGCAAAGCTAATCTCATGCTAGAACCCAGTCATCAGCGCATGAGATCATGCAGCTTTTTTTGAGTTTTCTTCACAGCATCCTCAATGGCACATTCTCCATGATAACACTGCCTGTCCTTGTTCAGATCCAAGGATATAATGAGTTGTGATCAACATCAAAGTCTACACTTCTTAACATAAGGCCTCACGCGCACCGCCGCCTCTCATTCTCACTGGGTTGGTGAAGCGGACAAGTGCACAGTGTCCTGTTAGTCTGATTAGACTCAGTTTTGAGCTGGCTGTAAACCGATCCTGATTGGCTGAGAGTGTCTGTGTGTTCCTCACAGTGGGACTTGGTCTGTGAGGATGCCTGGAAGGTGCCCTTCAGTCTGACCATCTTCTTCCTGGGTGTGCTGAGTGGATCGTTCTTGTCTGGAGAACTGTCCGACAGGTACTGACTGTGGGATGGAGGTGGAGAGAGAAAGGGGGATGTTGAGAAAGAGATAGGAGGCCCTTGCAGTGGTGTTTAAATAAGCCAGTTCAGTCAGTCACATTGATAAACATATAAGGGTTTGTATGCATCGCTTTGTTTTGGCTGCAATAACACAGTACTGGTTTCATTCTTGAGCGCATGGTGCATTAGTAGGGGTTGCTTTGTGAATGTAGAGTGTGACTTCATCATTCCTCATTTCCATGCAGGTTCGGACGTAAGGTGGTTCTGTTCGCCACTATGGCCATCCAGACTCTGTCCAGTCTGGTCCAGGTGGCCTCCGTTAGCTGGGAGATGTTCTGTGTGTTTTTCTTCCTCGCCGGCATTGGGCAGATCTCCAACTACATGGCAGCCTTTGTCCTAGGTAAGCAGAGTAAACAGACACATAATCATGCACTGCTGGACTTTAGAAGAGCGTTGCAGTGCATTAGCTGCACTTAAAAAAAAAAGTTTTGTTTTTTTTTTTTGGTTTGAATGTGTGGTTTTAGGCAAAAATGTTTTATTATTATAAAGCTTTACATTATGTTTAAAACGTTTAAAAAAGGTTCCTGACACTCGCATATCTCATTTACAAAATGGTACTTTAAAGCTTCACTATGTAAGTTTTGAGGATTTGGAGACCTCTCTGGTGGAAATGTGTAATTGCACACATAGTACAGAAGAACATTTTGTAATGTGGGTTGTGCTTCGGACCCCTTCCCTGTGTGGATGAATCTGATGATTGCACACTGAAAGAGTATTTAAAGAGCATACAAACTCTCATACGGTGAAGGACGTGTCTTTGAGGCCTAAACATCGAGCCAGACCTTCTTTTTGAGTCTGTTTATGTAACGTTAATATCTAAAGATGCATGATAGGGTTTGAAAAACACCTGCTAAATCAAATGTGACACCTCTGACTAGTATTTCCACCTTTACAGGATGACTCAGAGAAGCGCACGCACACCAGACTTCAGCTTTCATTTCGTTCTCACGCTGTTTGCTCTTTATGCTCAGTCAGATGACTCTTACGCAGCTAGAACTCCTGGACATTAAGTAACACTGAGCTGGTTTGACTGTGGACCAGGCTGGCTTAGTATGATAAGTGATGTTTTAATGAGTAGTTCGGTGGATGTTGGGGGCTGTTTTAAATGCCGAAAAGTAGGGCTTTGGGTCCAACATGCCAGTCAGGGAGTTCACCTGGCTGGCATGTCACACTGTGCTGAATGTTATCTGTCTTTGTCTCTCAGGCTGTGAGCTGCTGGGGAGAAATTTGCGTGTGGTGTACTCAGTGCTGGGCACGTGTGTGTTTTATGCACTGGGATATGCTTTCCTGCCCCTCTGTGCCTATTTGGTGAGGAGCTGGAGGCTTCTTCTGGCTGTCCTCTCTCTACCTGGACTGCTCTACATCCCCCTCTGGTGGTAAGACCAAGTACTACTGCAGTGCTGTCATGAACCCTCATGGGTGAATCCTTGTCTTACTTTACATTACACTGACAGTGGGGATTCTTAGTTGAAATTTGTATTTGCTTTAGTCTTAATCTGGGTCCAGAAGGCTGTCTTTTCTGCATTTTTTCCAGTTTCTATTACACGGAGCATGTTTATAGTTTAACAGACTTACAGATCTGACATTAAATCAGGGGTTTGGCCAAAAGTCAAATTACACAGCTTTCTCCCAAAAAAAGGATGCCTCGTACACATCCTAATGACGCCAGCAAGAGTCACTCTCAGTCATGCCCAAGGCCTTGAATGGTCACCTTTCACTCAGTTATGTGATTATGGAAAAAAAACAGTTTTAACTCCTGTACTACAGGCCGCCATGTCTGTTAGCATAGATCTGAGATGGGCATAACAAGTCCTTATCTCATATCACAGCATGCTTCTCAAAGAACATACCACAGAACTATGGGCCTCATTCTTCAGTCGTTCTTAAGAAGAAATTTCTTCTTAAAACACATTTATGCAGTTTTTATGAAGAATCTGATGTCAATGTTTTCCTATTTGGGATGTGTTCTTAGGTAAGGACAGAATCTACACACACTCAAGAGCACAGAGGTGTGTGGTTTAAGAACACGTCATGAATCTGATGCAGACTTGAAAAATATATTCCTAAGTAAAATATTCTTAAAAACGATGCTAATTTGATTAATGGAGATAATCTATATCCCCTCAACAGACAGTGATAGGCTTATTAACACAAAACAAAACTGCTATATGTTTGCAGGAATATCAAGTGTTTTTTCTTAATTACTTTTGCTTGTGGTTATTCTCTTGCAGAGCTTCATTGTAGTTCGAATCAAATCCAACTGTTTCTGATGGTTTGTTAAGACCAAAAGAAATAAAATGTGTTAAAGCGGAAGTTTGTAAAGTACTGAAAACTGCTTGATGTAATTACTTTCGTTGGTTTTCACCAGACATGAAGCTTCAAATGTTGTTGTTACCTATAATAGTTTGAGATGAATTAAAACTAAAAGAAGAATGTGCTGGGTCCCACATCATACCTCATGCCTACTAAGATAAGACACCATTGTTAACATGACTGACCACTGCCCACTGCAAAGGGACCGTTATCAACAAAGACTGTGAAGGCTTCCATACTTTTGCCCTTAAGTTTAACATGGTTACCTTAATCCAATTCTAAGCTAGCATTCCCTGGATGCAGAACAATGCAAAGTAACCCATCTTCGTCTGTGTTTTTTCTCATTCTCCCACTGTCAGGTTTATTCCAGAGTCTCCGCGCTGGCTGCTGGCTAAGGGCCGGGTCCAAGAAGCAGAGGACATCATTAGAGCAGCGGCCAGGAAAAATGGCATCACTCCACCTGAGGTCATTTTCAAGGATTCAGAGCTACTCATCTCTGAGGTAAAGACAGGCTTATGTGCTAATCCTGAAAATGTGCAGTTTGTTGATGTGCTTGCATGTGTTAATGTGTTTTCACATTTTTTGTTCTAATTTTAGAAGAGCGAACCCAAAAGCACTGATGTCTCGTACACGTACATGGACCTAATCAGGACCCCTAAGATGAGGAACATAACTGTGCTCAACAGTGTCGTATGGTAAACACAGCACCAGCCCTAGTAGCATCTGATGCTTTGTGGTTCAATTTTGACCCAGTTCCCCTTGGCAAATCGTTTTCAATTCCCAGAGGTTATGAGGGTCCATCCGATAGACTCACAATTTCAAAACCATGGGTTTCCAGTCAGGAGACTGACTAGGCCATGTAAGCTCCAGAAACCAGTCCTGAGTTATTTTGGCAGTATGTTTGGGGTCATTGTCTTCTCCTCATAAATGTCCCAGCTCAATTCACGATTCCTGAATGGAATTATGAATGATTATGTGTAATGCCCCCAGTACTGTTTACAAAGAAGCAGCCCATTTCACAATACTCCCACCACTGTACTTCACTGTGAGTGCAGTGTTCTTGAGATCATATGCACAACCCTTTCTTTCTCCAAACACGATGGGCTGAATTATTGTTCCAAAACAGTTCTGATTTGTCTAAATGCTTGTGAGCAAATTTTAGACCCGCATCTCTGTGCTTCTTTTGTAGCCGAGGGGTTTTGTGTGGGGTGTAGGAACTGTGATGGCTGCAGTACAGTTCATTGCTTTTTGCTCTCTGTGCAACTGTTGTTGCTGCGTCTTTCAGGTCATCCTGCAACTCTTTTCAAGTGACTGCTGGCTTCTCGTTTACCTTCTTTATCATAGTCTGAGAGTCTTGTGAAATCTTTTGTATTGCACCTGTCTGGGGACGATTAGTTGTGGGTGATCCAGGTCCAGAAACTAAAAATCTCCCCAGGATTTTGTTTAAATAACACCTTTGCTGCTGGTTTGAGCAACTGGAGAAGCCATGCAGTTGGAACAAAATCCTGGGAAGGATTTTTTAATTTTTGGACCTGGATTATGAACTTCTGGTTGTGGTTCCAAAAGCTTTCCATTAACTTATTATTTAACCATTTGTGCTGACAGGGATGATTAAGGCTTTTACTGTGGTTCTGTAGCTGTTTCCATTCAGCTGTTCTGTTTAATAAAGTTGTCCCTGAGAACGTTAGGAAGCTCCTTCACCCTCACCAAGATGACACACGCTAAAAAAAAGACGGTAAAAAAATTAGATTAGTAAAAAAAATGGTTCTATGTTGAACCATTAATACTCAAAGAACCCATGCATGATTAAAGGGTTCTTTGCATCATCGAAGCGTTCTTCAGATTGATGGAGAATGTGCTGTAGATGGTTCTATATAGCACCTTTTTGAGAAGGGTTCTATATAGCACCAAAAACGGTTCTACTATGGTTACGATGTCAAGCTTGTAACAACAGAAGAACCCTTTTTGGTGCTGTATAGAAGCCTTTTCAAAAAGGTTCCATGTAAGACCATCTACAGCACATTCTCCATCAATCTGAAGAACGCTTCGATGATGCAAAGAACCCTTTAATCATGCAAAGCGTTTTTTGAGCGTTAATGCTTTAACATAAAACCATTTTCTTTACTAAAGAACCTTTGAAGAAATGTCTTTTGCACCTTCTGAACCAGTGGCAGTGTCTTTTATAATGACACCAGGCGCAGTTTGAAAGAGAACCTTTTTTCCAGCATTAATATCTAGAACTTACTTTTGTGTAAACTTCTGTTTGCATTCATTTTGTCAAGTTATCTGCTTGAGATTTCATCTCCACTTTAGAAATAGGAATTCTGGATATTCATTGTATTATACACATTATTATGCAAATTTATTATGCATTTTATTGTGCACAGGACTCTCATATAAGAATCATTTCATATACTTATCTGCAATAAAGCTGGTTTAATATTATCAAAAACATTGATTACAAACTTTTGAATACTGTTGTTTAATTTAATAAACAATAATATAGCAGTAGTAATAAATATTGTTTTAATACTGCTACAGGCTTTATAATAATCATACTACTAATAATAATAATAACAATAACAACAACAATAACATCAGCGACAACAATAATATTAACGAAAAGCTGTTGTTTTCAGGTTCATCACCACCATCACTTACTTTGGCCTGTCTCTGAGCACTCCTAACATGAATGGAGACCCGTATCTGAACTGCCTGCTCTCCGCTCTCATGGAGGTGGCAGCCTATGTGCTGGCTTGGCTCCTGCTGAAGCTGCTGCCCAGGAAAGCGCTCATTACATTCCCACTGCTAACCGCTGGCCTGGTCCTGCTGCTCACCCATGCTGTCCCTCCAGGTAACAACTACAAGGAGCCCTCAGGCTTCTATAGTTGCCACAATGAGCACACTACAGCTGAAAGATCATTCTTTTAGATTTTCCAAAAATCCCCCCAAAATTTTCATGCCGTTTATAGGGATCTTCTGGTCACAGACCTCCTGAACCTCAGACTGGCATGTCATGGTTCCAATTCTGCTTCCAGTCCTGTTAACCGATGGCAAAGTCATTGAACTTACTTACATATTACCACTTGACGTGGCTTTTGCACTCATTATACATAAGAAGCTGTCAGATGTCTAGAGATGAAACTGATGAAATGACACTTAATCGTGGTGTTTGTATCGCTCCACACTGTTCTGAAGCAGTGCTGTTTGTGCTCTTTGTCCTGTAGAGTACAGTGGACTGAGTGTGGCTCTGGCTATGGGGGCTAAGCTGGGGGTCACTGCAGCATTCTCTGTGCTCTATATCTCAGCGGTGGAGCAGTTCCCCACGGTGGTGCGGGGCATGGGCATGGGCGTCTGCTCCATGTGCTCAAAAACTGGCAGCACCATCGCTCCTTTCTTCCCCTACCTCAGTGAGTAGCCTACCTCTGCTCCACACCTCACCGACTGTCTTTTTACTAACATGTGGGAGAATGATTTGCTCATAATCAATACAAACCCATTTAAAAAATCAATTGGCTGATGATGTCTGACACTGTGTTGCACAATAAGTGTTTTATTAGTTGATATTAGATCTATACTTACAGTCATTTTACTGAATGAAATACAAAACATCCTGAATCTCATGAGCTTTTGCTGTAACGTTGCTTCACATATTCAGTCCAGCTTCAACACTGAAAAGATTGTTGCATAAAAATAATTAAAAAACAACACAAATTATTATAATTATTATTATTATTATTATTAGTATTAGTAGTAGTAGTGGTAGTAGTAGTAGTATTCATTGTTCTGTTATGCATTAATAATAATAATAATAATAATAATAACAATTAATATTATTAATGTTATCACTATTATTATAATTGGTAGTAGTAGTGTTATTTTTAATAATAAATGGTAATTATTAATAGTAGTAATTCTATTTTTATTTGTACAACAACAGTTACAATAAAAATAATAATATGTATTATTAGTAGCAGTAGTAGTAGTAGTGGTAGCATTATAATTATTAATACTAAAAAGTAATTATTAATAATGCTATTTTATTCTATCATTATAGTTGTTACTACTACTACTAATAATAATAATACAGCAACAATATTGTTATATGAATATTATAACTATTATCATTATTATTATTATTAGTAGTAGTAGTAGTAGTATGTTCCAATAATAATAATAATAATAATAATAATAGTTTATCATTGATATTTTTATTATTACTATTAGTAATAGTAGTAGTAGTTGTATTTGTTATGTTATTATTATTATTATTGTTAGAATTGAAGATCAGACCTAAGTAAATAAAAGTAAATAAAAGATTAAAAATAGAAGATACACATTAAAATCCACTCAGGATATGTTCACATTGTACGGCCAGCTGATCCATGAGCAGAGGCTAAAGCACAACCAGTCTCCTTTAAGTAGGACGTTCTGGTTTCATATAGATCTTGTTATGACATTAAAACACCTGCACAACAAACGAAAATCTAAAACCCTCCAATTATCAGATTAAACTGCCTCCAGACTGAAAGAGCTTTTCACGGGGCATTCAACACTGACTGTGCAGCTGAATGAGTGACGTTAATGTGTGCAGGGCTTAGTGGTTATATGAGACATCTTGGCTTTAAGAGAAAGAAGCATAGTTTCCATTCTGCTGACTGAGGCTCAGTGATCATGAGCTGATGCTTTATATATACAGTTGTTTGCGAACACCCTTGGTCAAAGTGAAAATAAGTTAACAGAGAACCCATTTCTGCATATTTTAATATGCAATTACTGTTTATTTGTTTAGAATATTGAAAAAAACATAGTGTGGCCTACGCAGAAGTTATAGTACTATATTTTATATTTTTCCAATATGTTAAACTGAGCTTATACATTGAAATTGTGCACTAAAATTGGCAGACATAATTGCATATTTAAGTTTGTTCTCTGTAGAAAATATGTACTTTCACTTATAAGATCAACCAAACTTGGATTGGACATTGGTTATTCAAACTTTTGCATATGACTGTAAGTGTGCTTGTTTTTTTGGCCGAAACAAATAATATGGAATTAATTATGTGCCAGAAGTTTCAAATAAATTAATAAAATCCACAAGCAAAGTATTAAGGATCAAAATGTCCAAATTATGTTGCAAATGCAAACAATGAGAGTTAAATCAAGCTTAACCTTTTTTTCAGAAAGATTATTACTCATTTTCTCTCATTCTGACATAAATTCTTTATTCATTTTGTCAGTTTTTGGTTTAACTTTTAGACTCAGAAGAGGGCATATACCTGCACTCTCTAATGGTCAAATGAACACAGTTTTTCATCTTACTCCAAATAGTCACCAGCTACGATATCTATGTTTAAAGTTTTACACTGAATCTACAAGACCAGTGTAGCTAACAAGTAATGGAGGCTTACACTTTCCTCAATATGCCTCAAACTGTTAAGTAATCTCACACAGAAATAGGACACAGTGTTTTATGCAAAAATGAACGAAAGTATGAAAAAAATTCAGGCCTTGATATGACTGCATATACTGTTTTTAGCTGTGCTAAAATATATAAAATGATAATCCACATGAGCAAATATTCAGCTTGTTTTAATTCATTCATTACCTTCATTCAGACATGAAAATCAAAGGAGAATTCCACCAATTTTTCAAAAAGTCATTCGGTATGAAATGAAATGCTTTGATGTAGAGAGACTTACAAAGTCAGGATTGACTTTGAAAATCCGGGTCCGAGCCCCCATGAGCGTCGCCAGTGGCGAAAGTGGCAAGGAAAAACTCCCAAGACAAGGAGGGAGAAACCTTGAGAGGAACCAAGACTCAGAAGGGGAACCCATCCTCCTCTGGTCGACACTGGATAGCAAACATTTTTAGTAGAGGTATTATAGTACAAAGCGGGGTTAATAATGGTTAATTAGATTAGTTTATGATTATGCAGCAGCAGCATCTGAGGGTAAGGATTGCACAGCGTTGTACAGCATGAAGCTCAATGGTGGTCAAGCCGGTCCAGAGGGCTGGCGAGCAGTGGCACCCGATCAAGGCAGAAGAGGCAACAGCTTCAGACCCACAGGATGGGCAGCTGTTCAACTCGGCAAAGAAAGAAAACACACAGAGAATTAATTCTGTAATGTGTGACTGATCACAGATTACAGTGTTAGCAGAGCAGCGGAGACTCTGGCAGGTATAGATCTGACAGGGAAAACTAATTGCCATAGGCTTGACTAAACAAGTAAGTTTTTAGCTTAGACTTAAACACTGAGGCTGTGTCTGAGTCCCGAACATTAACAGGAAGACTATTCCAAAGCTGGGGGGCTTTGTATGAGAAGGCTCTCCCCCCTGACGTAACTTTATTAATTCTAGGTACTAATAGTAAACCAGCACCTTGTGATCTAAGTAGGCGTGATGGTTCACAATGGGAGAGAAGTTCACTCAGGTACTGAGGGGCGAGTCCGTTTAGAGCTTAATAAGTCAGTAAGAGAATTTTATAATCAATGCGAAATTTAACTGGTAACCAGTGTAAGGTTGATAAAACTGGGCTGATATGGTCAAACTTTCTGGTTCTTGTGAGGACTCTGGCTGCAGCATTCTGGACTAACTGAAGCTTGTTAAGGCTTTTGCTGGAACATCCAGCCAGCAGGGCGTTACAGTAATCTAGCCTTGGAGTAATAAATGCATGAACTAACTTTTCTGCATCCTGTAGAGATAATTCATTTCTTAATTTAGCAATATTGCGGAGATGCAGGAAGGCTGTTCTAGTGATATTAGTTATATGTGTGTTGAAGGACAGATCAGGGTCTATAATGACACCAAGGTTTTTTACAGATGAGCTTGGTGCAACTGAGAAATTGTTAAGTTTAAGTGTTAAAGTCGACAGTTTGTTTCTAGCTGCTTTAGGGCCAAGAAGCAAGACCTCTGTTTCATCCGAGTTTAGAAGGAGAAAGTTACTCGACATCCAGTCCTTTATGTCTTTTATACATGAGATATCAATGTTTTTGAGTGTACATGTACATGTAGAGTGTTGTGAGGCAAAATAGTCCCCAAAGGAAATTTATTCTTACAGCTTTACCACTGATTTACCATCAGCATTACACAGAAACTCAGAAGACAGATTTAGGTTCACCGCTTGTTTTGGACAGTACATAAAATGTTTATATTTGTTTTGTAGACATTGTGACCCCTGGTTCCCATCACCACCACTGTAAAGAAATTAGAGGCAATAAGTTTCTCTACAATTAACCATTTCAAACCACTCTGAATGGCTTTGTTTACATCTCAACCCTTCAATTATACAGGGATTTTGAAAAATCTGTGGAATTCCCCTTTAATGAGGAACACATTTTACCGCTTTTAAAAGTATGAAGTCTGCATGTATCTTATCTGCCAGACACTGTGCAGCTGCTACAGTCACACTGCTGCCTCTGCAGGTCACTATGATCGGATTCTGCCCTACATTCTGATGGGGGCGCTGACCGTGCTAGCTGGGCTGCTGAGTATTCTGATGCCGGAAACACGAGGCGTGCCCTTGCCTGAGGACCTCTCTCAGGTGCAGACTCTGAACTGGTATGTCTATGCTTTACATGAACATACACTCACTTCATGATTAAAGTCACCCTCAGGTGCTGCTCATAGCTCCTTCAGCCAAAATGGTTACTTTCTTACTAAGAGGAAAATACCTGGTCTCCACCACATCTACAAGGATCCTCCTACCAAGTTAGCTCAGAGTTAAAAACACATTTCAGACTTTTAACTGGCCTGAAGTTTAGAATAAAATCTTTTTTATTCTTTGAGTGTTTTCATTATGTTTAATTATAATTATGTTTTCATTACACATTTATGTGTAATTAATGTATTATCAATGTATTATTTCTGTATTGTTTAATTAGTTAATTTTAATTCATTTTAATTTAGTTATTTTATCAAAATGAATGATTAAACATTGCATTTTGTCACCACCAAAACAAACATAACACTACTGAAACTTTACCAAATCTTTAAGTAATGATTGTTTCGGTAGTGACAGTTTTAGCTAATTTTGAGCATAAATCCGGGGTCACGTTTCCCAACAGAGAGTACCCTAAAATTTATGATTTTGTATGATTTAGCTTATTCCTAATGCCTTAGGTTTAAATAGATCATAACATAATCTTTTAATAGTTTTTTTTTCTGTAAGACTAGTAGAATAGGCCATTTACATACCCAACTTCCACTTTGAATTACTCTTAAAGGAACACTTCTGTCAAAAATGTTAACGTTGCTGACTCTGTAAAGTGTAAAGGGCTGTATGTAGATCTACACTTCAGTTTCAGTGAACAGATGTGTCAGCTGAAGGAGGACTGTAATCCAACAGCTAACATATTCAATTTGAAGTAGTTATGTAATAATTTATAGTAGTTTATAGTAGGAAGTCTTAAAGTGCTCATATACTACATTTTTCTTGTATTTAAAGTCCATTTATAGCAACTGTGTAGCATTTTTATATGCCCATTTTACAACCTCCTTTATTCCTTAGAATTAAAGGGCCCATATCGTGGAAAACCAAATTTCCCATTGCTTATGTTTCAAAAATCCTGTTCACTCCCCGGTCCATACAGTCCATATATGGAAATTATGCCTGCAGAAACAGTCCATTTTGAATTGTTTCTGTGATGTCACAAGAATGCACTTACTTACACCTGCCTATTCAGCCTACAGCACTACTGTCCATTCATATGGAAATCTAAGCTTTTTGACCAATGCAGAATACAGGACAGCCAATCAGAACAGAGCTCATTTATCCTATGTTAGTCTAAGGCACAGTAACAAAAACAGCCTGTTTAATACTAAAAGGTATGTTTTAAAACTTTAACAATATTTACATACTACATAAAACAGTTTATTATTTATAAAAAAGATATTAAGATAAAGATATTAAAGATATTAAAGATATTAAGTCCCTTTAAAATAATAATAAGCCTGCAGTTTAAGAGGCTAATAAAGAAGGAAATGGCAGTAGGGGCCCATTTGATTATGCAAATGAGATCATGCTAACCAGTATGTAATAGACTTTTTTAGCATTTTATGCTAAAACCCAAATGTGGCCACCTCTAAAGAACACACACACACAATCTAAACCACTTATCCTTCTGGGTCACAGTGGGGTGCTGGGGCAGGATACACCCTGGACAGGTCACCAGTCCATCACAGGGCAGAGAGACAGACAGACATTCACACACACCTAGGGGCAATTTAACATGTCTTTGGATTGTGGGAGGAAACCCACACAGACATGGGGAGAACATGCAAACTCCACACAGAAAGGACCCTGGTCACCCGGCCGGGAATCAAACCCAGGCCCTTCTTGCTGTGAGGCGACAGTGCTACCGACAGTGCTGTTGTTAAGCAGCATTCTGTACCGCATCATTATGTCCTTCAGCCTCCTTAATTTTTACAGAATACACAATTTTATATTGTTTTCATGTTTCCATTCATCAGTGTTCACTACAGCACACATTATCTAAAGACATCAGACAACAGTTAAGCAGTCCTGCTTGCTAGCCTAGCCACCAATCTACATTCTAATAAATACAACCAAGCTAGCATTAGTGTAGCTCTTACCTCAGTTGTTCAACAAAATCAAAAAGAAAACAGCAATTCTGTCTTTATTCACCACAGAATAGATTTTACTTTTCTGCCAGAGAAAAGAAGCCAAACTCAAGTAAAATATCTGCATTGCCAAGTAGCTACTGTGCTAACTTTAGCTTTTAGCTTGTTGTCATCTGGAGAGTTGTTTCTGTTGACTTTATTCTGCATCCACCAGGTAATGGGGAAAAAAGTAGTGACAATGACAGCTATAATCAGATCATTGACAAGTAATATGAAAGAAATGAACAGCCTAATTATCCAGCTCCACAAAAGATCAGAGTCCAGTTAGGGTCCATAATTTTTTCTTGTATTTTATTTTCCCTGTGAGGTCCATTTATAATGTTTTGAATTTATGTAGTAAAACAGTCATTGTTCATTTTGTTACTGTGCCCCTTTAAGACTGATATATCTAAATTACATCTATCTATTCAAGGCAATCTGGACTGAAACACTCTTTATCACCTCAGCATGAGTGGGCGGAGCTAAAAAGTGCTGCAGGATGAATAGGCAGATATATGTAAATGTGTTTACACATTGGCTTTCATGACATCTCAGATGCATTCATTTAAAACAGACACTCTTAATACATATATATGTGTGTGTGTGTGTGTGTGTGTGTGTGTGTGTATAGACTTGGGAGTGAACTTTAGCGATGTTTATATGCTTAATGCTATGGGTTACAGTCCTCCTCCAGCTGTTTTGAAAGAGGAGACATGGGGAAGAACCGAGACATACATCTGTCTCCTCGTCTGCGGTAGAACAAAGCCCAGCACATCCCCTAAAGCCCACTCATGCCCTTGCTGTAATGTAATACTGCATGTTTGTCACATAAAGCTGTACATTCTTCTCCAGGTGCTGCTGCTGTTGTAGACCAGCATGTTCAAGAAAGAGCCGGAAAACGGAGAGAGTGCAAAAGCTGCAGCCAACTGTGTGATCTGAGACACGCTACCTCAAGGACAGTCGAGTACTTGACTTCAGTGTACAGAAAAGTGAGAATTAACTTAGCTGTGTGAAGCATTTCCTCAGGAATGAAGTGTTTACATGATCACTTTTCAGTTTACATTACTTTAAACAATAATAATGTTGATGTAATGTATTTTATTCCTGTGGAAATTATTTGCGAACACCTTCATTTGAACCCTGCCCCATAAGATTGACATATCCATACCAGAAACATGTCATGGCAGATGTCATGCTTTCATAAGCTGTCATGACAGATTTTATTATGTCGTAGAACCAGAGCTGGTTTAAGGGGAGCCTGGCCTCTTCCTGTTTCTCCTGTTGTATCAAAAACATGACTGCAAAACTCCAGAGGGCGCCTGCAAGCAAGTCCTAAATGAATGGGAGTGAATAGAGCTAAAAATGAAAAGTGTAAATTAAATAAAGATAAACAGTTTCTAAGCATTTGTCGAGGAGCTACTTTAATTTTGGAAATTTTGAAAAAATTTGACTACATATTTCTTCTGCAGCAAACAGGTTTTGGGAGGTGGGATGCAAGCATTACTGCTACTGGGTGCTGATTGGTTAGCATTACTGCTACTGAGTGCTGATTGGTTGTCATCACTGCTACTGACTGCTGACTGGTTGGCATTACTGCTACTGAGTGCTGATTGGTTAGCATTAGTGCTACTGAGTGCCGATTGGTTGGCATTACTGCTACTGAGTTCTGACTGGTTGGCATCACTGCTACTGAGTGCTGACTGGTTGGCATTACTGCTACTGAGTGCTGATTGGTTAGCATTAGTGCTACTGAGTGCCGATTGGTTGGCATCACTGCTACTGAGTGCTGACTGGTTAGCATTACTGCTACTGAGTGCTGATTGGTTGGCATCACTGCTACTGAGTGCTGACTGGTTGGCATTACTGCTACTGAGTGCTGATTGGTTAGCGTTAGTGCTACTGAGTGCCGATTGGTTGGCATTACTGCTACTGAGTGCTGACTGGTTAGCATTACTGCTACTGAGCGCTGATTGGTTGTCTGACAAAACCAGAAGACATTACTAAGGGGCAGTTTTCCTCACTACACATTCTCTGGTGTATACTGAATGTCCTGAAAGCTTCGCGATGTGATACTACATTTAGACGCTCATTTGCTGTTAGGCCCAAAATTTGGTTCTGCACCACTGGATAAGTTGATGCTGCAGCTAGAACACTTCTCAGTCAGATTATGCTGTCAGAACCAACTGATGCATGGTCAGTAATGTAACAGTGTAATGTTACCATTACTGCTAAATGTCATAACAGCTTTATGTCACATGCTAATCGTCGCTGTGTACTGTGACATCAAACGTTATGACATCTGTCATGAAAATAAACAGTAATGGCAACATAACACTGTTATTTTAAGGGACAGAATCTGTTACCACAGCTCATGACAGCATATGACATCTGCCATGACAAGTCTACGGCATGGTTATATCAATGTTATGTAACAGGGTTCAAGTAAAATGTTAGCGCACATTCAATGCACTGCTTTTTCCAGTGTATACAACAACGGTTTTCCAAAGGAGTAAGTAGCTATACAACAAATCTTTAGTCATACGAATGTTTGGGGTGAGCGACCAGTAGTCCATACTGGTGTGCACAAACTACACAGGCTAAAGATGACCATACTCTAGTATAACCTGTTGTCTTTTTTTAGAGTTTATTATATTTGTGGTGCAATTCGAGGGGTAACACTGTTAACATTGTATGAATGTAAAATGTTGAACATGTGAGTATTTTATACAGTGCTATTAGTTGCCAATACAGGTCTAAAATCTGATCTAAAAAAGCACTGATTTTTTGTAAAGATGGGAAATAAACTTGTAACGTTACTTTATCCACCTTTTTGAGTTTTTTAATCCATGCTGTTGAAAGATATGCAGAAGGCTGCTGGACACCTGAACCTCCTGCTGCCCTTAGGCACATCCACTCAACTGGAGTGCTGTTTGGGAAAGTCACGGCAACCAAGCCATTTCAGTGCATGTGTTGCGTTATATATAAATCTGTATCAGCGTGATGGTCATGCAGGCGTGCTCATCATTCAGAATGGCTGTTGTGTTGGCTAAAACTAATGCAAACTCTAAAATGTTCTGCAAAAAGCAGTGACTTTGGTTTAATCAAATGATTTCATGTGTCTGATTGTCTTGAGGAACTGAGTAGATCTTGCTGCATTAATGTCTTTAATGAGACAGCACAATTTACAGTGCTGTGAAAATGTATTCTTGACTTGAAATCAGACTGAAAAGCATTTGGAAGTTTCAAGGACATCACTGAACCACAGTGAGAGCCATTATCTACATACCAAAGACACTGAGAACATTGGCAAAGCATTGGAGGGGCTGGCCTGCCAGAATTTCCCCAAGGACAGCAGCAACTCATGCAATAAGTCACCAAAGGTTTCTGGAGAACATCCAAAAAAACTGCAGGCCTCTATTGCCTCTGCTAAGGGTAGTGCTCTTGATTCCACAGTAAGAAAGGAACTGGGCAGAAGTGGATTTCCAGATCCAGAAAATCCAGATGGATTTTCAGAATTTTTGGACAACAGAGGTCTTTTCATATCTGGCATAAAGCAAATCATCATACCAACATTTAAGTATAGTGGTGCCAAAAAGGTATTGGGATGTTTTTCTGCTTTGGGATCTGGAAAACATGCTATTGTTGTGGTGTTGCAGAATTCTAAAGGGGTCTATTCATCTGTCCTTGAGCAGAAGCTAAAACATAATTGAGTTATGCAGCAAGACAGTGATCCAAAACAGAAAAGCTTAGCCACATCTGAATGGCTAGGAAAAAGCAAAACTGTGGCCTTGTCATAGTCCTGACTTGAACCCAGTAGAGATGCTGTGGGCCCTCAAACAAGCAGTTCATGCCTGAAAACCTACCCATATGTCTGAATAATGGCAGATCTGCAAACAGAGTGGGCTTAAATCACAACACTGTGAAAGGCTGACATCAAATTCTAGGAAACGTTACCTTTCAAACAGCACACACTTGTCTCACATTAGAAGAAAATTTGTCAGAAATTTGTACAGATAACAGTATGTCATGGAGTGTCTGAAACCACATGTCAATTCTAAGACACTTAACAACTCGGCGTGCAATTTGCTTGATGCTAATTGTTGGCGTATATCCTTCCATTACTTGTTAGCTACATTAGCTCCAAAACTAAAACTAATAAGCCAAACTTCAGACACTTAATATGTCTTGGCTCATCCATTACAGTCCATCACAGGGTACATTTTATTCACTAAAACAAAATTCCAAATACCATTAAAAAATGTCTGTTTAAAAATAGAAGCCTTGAATTGCAAAATGATAAACAATATGAAGAGCAGTACTTTCTTCAAATATCTGGAGCTTTGCAACATATTTGGAATATACTACGACATCAGAACATGCCTGTGTTCTGTTTGGTTTAAAATTAATTGGGTAGTCTGTTAAGAAAATGTTGGACGGCCTGGCTCCATATCTGGAGGAATGGGGGGGGGGGCTAGTCACGAACGAAGTCACCTAGGACTCAACCAACGCTCCCCAGCTGCACAGAGAACCCCTCCACGCTCCCCAGCATTTGTCTGGTGGGACTGCTAAGCGGCGGGGTTGCTGCTCTTGGACACTGTTTTCTGAGGTTGGTCAAGTAAAGCAGAGCAGTAAAGTGTGAACCTCGGTGTCACACTAATATTATGACTATGGACCAGAACCTCGACTTGTGTAAGTTTCTTGTGAGACCCCCTCATCACAACACTACAGTGACTACTAAAATCATTATTTAACCATTTTTATTTTGTTCTCTTTGTCTGTTCATTTCTTTCAAGTTTATTTTGCTGCTGTTTGTTAATTACTTTGCCCAGTTACTCACAGTAGGGATGTATTTTGAATAATTGCGATAAAAAAAAAAACAGAAAAGAAAAAAAAAAACTTGTGTCCTTGTGGGTGTTACAGTAAGCGTGGTCAGCCAGCAGGGGGCGCCAGGGCCAGAGCTTAGCAGGGCGCAAGCGTGAAGGTAATAAAGTGAGTCACGGTGATCCGGGCAGGCAGCAGCACACACCGACCTGAGGGGCTACTGCATCTGGACGAAAAGGAGAAAAAAAACCCACAACCCTCCCACTGACAATCCTGTATTTACCTTGCTCATTCGGATATCACTGTTTTACCCTCAGATCCAGCCTGAGCTGTCTGGAAATTCCCTGCGTGGTCTGGAGGAGAAGGAGGAGGAATAATAATGTGTTCATGCTGGTGATGCCAGTCAAGGTGAGCGATGGATGGATGAGAGGAAAAAATGCCGTCGACTGACACGAGGCGAGCGTCGATATCGACACTGATCGGCACCTTTTCTTCATTCTGAGGACTGAGGGGCTTTTTCTGTTCTCGCTTCAACGAGCTAAACGATGCTCCTCCTGTCCGTAGTAACGAAACGTCTCGCCAGCCAGTGAACTAGACGTCCATCCTCTCTCTCTCCCTCCCTCTCTCTCTCTCTGTGTCTCTCTCTCTCTGTGTCTCTCTCTCTCTCTCTCTCTCCCTCTCTCTCTCCAACGGTGGTGGGCTTGCTCGCTTTCCCCCAGGCGCGCTGAGTGAGAGACCCCCCCGGATGGATGGTCGGTGACCCGTCAGCCCGGGATGGAGCCGTTCCTGCAGCTCGCTCCTCACTCCCTGGCCATCGTGCTCTCCAGGCTGCCCGAGGTCTCTGCGGGCGTCAGCGAGAGCAGCGAGCCGCCGCGCCACCACACCGGCTACGAGATCTTCGCCGACTTCAAGGCGCTCAACGCCAGCTACTTCTGGAACAAGATGGTGGCCGACGCCATCGCCGAGACCTTCTTCTTGGGCTGGATAGACGAGCACGTGCTGCTCATCCAGGGCGAGGAGGAGCACCTGGAGGCCCTGAGGGAGGCGTGGATGCGGAGGTCCCTCAAACCGCCGCACGGCTTCGACATCAAGTACCTCGGTAATCATCGCCTCCCTCATCGCGCGCATCCGCCGTCTGACGGCACAGCGCACGGCTGCGTCCCGAACGCCATACCTCTCCATCCGCTGAACGCACCAGAGGCACTGTGCTCTAAATAGTACACTAAAATAGCGCTACGTTTAGTAGTACTCTTAAAGGGGAAATCCAGCGATTTTTAAAATTTCTGTCTAATTCAGTCTTTGAGATGTAAAGTCATTCAGAGGGCTTACTCCTCAAAACCACCAGAGAACCTACGTGCGTGTTCTTATCGTTTAATATGTAATGTTGATAATGGTAACGTAGTGGTAAGTGCATGTACCCCTCTGCCATGAATGGCTTTTAAAAATATATGTTTCGGGCCAAAACTTTGCTGCAAAACTTTCATACACCTATGTCTCAGACATCAGGCAGCATATTCCTAAACTTGTAATAACTTTCTGTGAGGGAGCTTTTAGAAGTGTTAAACCCTTCAGATGTCTGGTTACTATCACTGTCACTGAACAATTCTGACTTGGTAAGTTTCTCACGAACAGAGCATTTTAAATTTATTTACATCGTAACAGTTTAATTATGCAGATATTTTGAAAAAAAAAAAAA